TTGTTGAGCACTGTATTTTTTCGTTGCCATAGTATAAACTTACTGTTATATTAAATTTATAATTTTTTTCTGTTCCTTTAAAAGCTTTTGATGAATTTGTCACGTTTTCATTTCAGTGTTTATATACGGTACTTACAGTTATATTTTATTCTAAGTATGTCATAAACAACAAAAATAGTTGTTAACAATAATATATGGTCAAATGTTGCAATCAGGATATTTAAATCTTAGATTAGATCTAAAATACCATTACGTAATTCTTGTACTTGTAATAGTGTTTCTTGTTTTTATTTATGTATGAGTTACGTTAAATTCACGTGTTGACTGCATTGGAAAAATAAGAAAGTAAACGTCGTAAAACAGTTGAAAGCTATTTTATTTGTAACAATATGTCAGTTTTGTAATATTTTCGGAAATAATTTAATTGAAATAAGTTTAAGGTTCATTTAATATTTCAGCTTTCACATTGGGAACTGCCAAAAATACGAAAAAAAAGAAGATGATACAGCAGGTAGTACAGTAGACTAGCGCGAAGCTTCAATTTTAAAATGTATAAAAGTAACTTTATTATTATTATATTTATTTTTATTACATTTATTTATATTTTATTATATTTATTTTTATAATAAAATATTATGCTCCTAACGCCTCCTGCTAACGTATTAACAAAATATACTTTGTTTATTTATGACAGACCTGTCAAATAAAATAAATATATGATGAGTAGAAACGAATAGATCGATGTGAAGAACCGCTATTTTGTGCATGCTACCCGTGACGTTTTCTCATCATGGCACTAGTTCCTTGATACTCGGTGTCAGGATTTTAATATTTTCTCCACAGAAAAAAAGTGATACGACCCCAGTATAGAAGCTTCACTTCAAAAAGGTTTTTGTGCTTTTACTGCAATCAATATGTGTAACCTTCATTAGTTTGATCAAACACCTTTAGTCTTTTTGAAGCGAAGCTTCTATAATGGCGGTATATTTGTTTTTTTTTCTATGGTAAAATGCTGAGACGAGGGTCACGGAACTAGCGTTACGGGTAACGTCACAAAATAGCGGTTCTTCACTTCGATTCACTACTCTCGATCAATTCGTTTCTAGTCATCATATATTTATTCTAAGTAGGTTTCAAATAAAAATTGCACGAAAAATAACATAAAAAATAAACGTAAAAAATTAAAAGGATATCTATCAATGAAACATTCGATGTGTAATGATTTTCAAAATTTTAAAGTCATAAATGTCATTTAATTAATAACAATATTGAATTATCTGTTTAAATTTTTATGACACTTCTCGTTTTAAAATAATTTCTTAAAAATATCTTATTTAGTTTAGATAATAATTAAATTACTAGCAAATGATATTTATTCACGTTTTATTCTTAATTTAATATCTCGTCCGAACTGTGGTGCACCCAGTTAAACCCCGTCCCCACCTCCCAGGGTGTATAAAGTCACATTCACACACACAATACAAAAAATCCAAAACGCTAATTGAATAATTAAATTACCACTTTAAATATGTAGAACACAATAATTATTGTATAAATACACAATAATTAATAATATTTTTTATTATATTTAGATATAGATACCTAATATTAGGCTTATGACAAAAGTACACAGAACGGGTCTGTTGCGAGTAGAATGCGCCTACAGGACTGTATCTGCGGCGGCCTTGTGGACTATCAAGGATTGTTTTCCTCTGCATGTGTTAGCAGTAGAAAAGAGACATCTATATGAACGAAGAGAGCATTTGACAACAGCTATAAAAAAAGAGCCCGCAGTACCTTTAACAATATGAAACAAATGTTGTGTAGCCGTAATCTAAGCCTAAAGCTGAAAATACGAATGCTTAAATGTTATGTTTTCTCGGTCCTGTTATATGGGGTGGAGGCGTGGACACTAAATAAGCAATGTATGGGTAAGCTGGAGGCATTTGAGATGTGGGCGTACCGAAGAATGTTAAAAATCTCCTGGAAGGATAAGATAACTAACCAAGTTGTATTAGACAGGATGAACAAACAAAAGGAGGTCGTATTGAGTGTTAAAATGAGGAAACTACAATACCTGGGACATATTACACGTGGGAATAAATATCAACTGTTACAACTAATTATGCAAGGAAAGATTGAAGGTAGGCGCAGCATAGGTAGGAGAAGAATGTCATGGTTGAGAAACCTCAGGGAGTGGTTTGCTTGCACTTCCATACAATTGTTCCGAGCGGCAGCCTCCAGAGTCAAAATTGCCATGATGATAGCCAACCTTCGTAGCGGAGATGGCACGTGAAGAAGAAGATAAAAAAAGAAAATGGAGTGTAAATGGAGTGTAATAGGGGTACAAAGGAGAAAAACAGAATGTATAAAGAAATAGGTATGAACCCTGTGACTGTAAGAGAGATGATTGTGAAGATGACGGGAAGTACGGAGGGATGAAATAGTGTTCACAATTACATCCGAGCCGTCATTAAAAATAAAGAAGAAGAAGAGAAACACCAACCGGGCCAACGATAGAGATAAGATCTAATTACTATTTTAATGGGAATAAGCTGCAATAGAAGGATAAAATAAGTTTATTGACGTTTGAATCTTTGATCTTGTACTGGTAACTTATTTATACTCCAAGTATGACTAGTATGTCAGTATGCCATCCTTACTGTTTAATTAATATATTGAGACAGCCTTCCAAAATTTGAAAAACCACTGCCTGGGAATGGGAATCCCCATAGGAAATGTTCATCCTAGTTCAAGATTCTTATGATCTAGAATTTATGATAAAGCGCCTATACAGAGAATATGTAAAATGGGAGTTACAAGTCAGTATGAAGAAAACAGAATATTTAGATATCAATTTAGATGCAAGGTTTGGAGTGTTGATAGACAGAGGACGTGGAAATCAAACAAGTGAAAAAATTTAAAATATTTAGGTGCACTCATTGCTAAGAACGGCTTGTGAGAAACCGAAATTAAACACCGAATTAATCAGGGACGTAAAATTATACGATGCCTGAACTCTTTATAATGGGATCGCAACATTTCGAAAAGGAACAAAAAAGCATACGGTAAACCATGGTTGAACTATGGACAATTAATGCAGACCTCGAGAGAAGATTTTTGGCAGTTGAAATGGATTATTTGAGAAGAAGTGCTAGAAAATCAAGGCAGGAAAGGAAGACCAACGAATCTATAAGAAATAACACGAATGCTACAGAAACGGTCATCGACAGAATAGAACGTTGGCCACAAAAACTTCACAAATGGAAGCCTCTTGGAAGAAGAAAAAGAGGTAGATCTCGACGCTCTTGGAATGAAGAAATTAAAAGAGCGATGGAATCTAAAGGTTTAGAGGAGGAGCATGCCTTGGACCGGGAGGATTGGCGGAGGAGAATGGGAATACGGCGATAGTCGTCTCCAAAATGTATTTTACAAGTTGGATTAATGTCAAACGTCAATAAACCTATTTTAACCTTCAATTGTGGCTTATTCCCATTAAAGTAGTAATTACTTTAAAATGCCACAAGAAAATAGCTTCAGAACAATAGATAAGATCTAGATAAGAGAAGGGAGTGTTCCAAAAATGTCGTCAGCCTTACAGCGGCCACCCCACTTTCGGAGTACGGTACGTGCGACAGTCAACTGCGCACAAGTAAGAGAGGGTGATTTTAGTTGGTAGGCAGAATAATAGATACCTGAATCGTTGGCACTGCTATCGTTAGTACTTTAAATTAAACTAAAACCCAAATATTAGAGACTTAAAATGGAAGTAGCATAAAAAAATTTCAAAACCCTCCCACAGACAAATTCTGGGTGCGCCACTGCGTCTGAATTTGACAGGCCTATCAGAAGTAAACAACGCATGATTTGTTAATACGTTAGCGGGTGGCGTTAGGAGCACACATAATAATTTATTGAAATATTTGGTGTTGCTGCTGTTGGTGTGTTCCTTACAAGTCCCTATAATTTCAAGGCTTGGCACCTTGCTGAATTTAAGGATGACCATTTTTGCTACACTTTTGGACATCATACCACTCATGCATATGTTACTGTTGGTTTTACCACGAATAGACCATGTCTGGTTTGAACCCCACATTTAGATGTGTACTATTCACTTCTGTCATTAAATTTGCTGTGCTAAGATGACCAAATCATCTGCATAGAGCAGGAATAATGTATGTATGTCATAAGTCTACCTATAAACCCAGTCATAACGAGATGCTACACAAGCGAGGAAATAATAGCAAGAGGCTACTTGTTCGGATACTGTATCCAACAGTAACGTTGCGAATATCACACGGCTCTTCAGTATGTAGACTATCAACATGTTGCTTATTTTATCTACTCTAATGCTTCGTAGGTGTTGTCGAATGGTACTTACATACAGAGAAGTGCATCACCTCTTGGTTTTCTAAATTGTATGTACGAAATATATGTATTCTCCTTGACTATCGAACAGTTTTTCTCAAGACTTCAATACAAATGACATCCAGCTTATCAGTGTAAGGGACTTTACTTTTTCCTGTCCGGTTTTGACAGGTTTGGGTATAAAAGCCACCCTTATTAGCCTTTATGCTTTTGGTACATACTTCAGTCCTTAGCTAGCCTTTAGTGTCATAATTTTGTGTACATGTCATTTCCCTTCAGTAGAAATATTGGATAGATTCACTCCGGATCGGGTAATTTATAAGGATCAAAGTTATATTATGAGTTTTAAATACTTGCGAAACGCCCGCACATGTCCATTATTATTAGTATACACTCATTACTTTACTTATCATTTTATACTTCAACGCCATTAATTTAATTAAAGTAATTATTTCTTGTAAAACAAAAACTTACGATCGAAACAAACAATATAAAGATTAATACTGAGTAGTTGGAAATTATGATTAGCTATAGTAAAGCATATCTATCAGTGTTTATAAGGCCAGCACCCTTTTAAAAAAATAAATATACACCTTAAATATATTTAAGTAAAATTTATTAAAAAAACTTACCAATATCATGACTTTCCAATTTGGTTCTCAGATGGTCAATGCTGTTTGCCTTGATGTCGAGTTCGTCTTTTGTCAAATCCTGAAAAGAAAATAATATGTCAGTCATCGTTATTAATTAGCAACACAATTAAGGTTCTTTTATATTTGAAGAAAAGATAAAAATAGGAAACCATGATGTGATATTAATGGATTTAAAGAAGCACTCGGTCTGTAAATGAATTAATGATATGAGTACAAGAAACATTTTTTATATTGTAAAATACGATTTGATTTTTAGACGTAGTGTAGAATTTTGCACAGATGTCACATAAAATGATGAAATATGGAATCAACAGCAAATCTGTTAGTGACTATGAGCATACAACAGGGTAAGAAAAAAAATCTCAGAGGAGATGAAATGATGTACTTAAGAACATGCTGAAACACGATGAATATTCAACATCCCTATATCAAATTTGTCCATAAATGAACAGAATAAGGCAAGGTTAAGAGATAAATAAATATATAGAGATATATAGGCTAGAAATATATCGTATATGAATTACTTATACCAAGAAAACTTCAGACACATCATTATTTACAACCTGGACAGGAAGCTGAAAAAATATAAGATATTTATCAGTTTATTTAAATTCAGAAAGAAAGAAAGAAAATAATTAATGAAGAATATTAAATTTTTTTCTAAAGTCATCTCATGCACTATGCCTATAAATACAAGGAAATGAGTTTACGACCACTTGCAACTATTGTCTGCTTTTCCTCCATTAAATTCTGCAATATAATCCTTTATAATAGACGCCGTACTAGGAAAACAAAGTGCATTAAGTTTATTTGCATATATTATATTTTACTAAGTAACAGTTAAGTACTTAGGAATATACTTGTCTTGAATTGGATATTAGATAACATCGTTATAATTACCTACGATTTGAAAGTATTCACACTGCTATCAATACAATGGTGAAATCAATTCTGATTATATTGTTCGTTTTTTTTTTCAATAACTAATCCTGTTATGTAATTATTATATAAATCAAAGAGAATTTTACACAAAACAATTGTTTTATTGTTTTTTTCGTTAAAACTTCATATTTGAATATGAGGAAGGCATACGAAACAATTGACCCTGTTGTGCTTGGTGTGCAGCTTTAAGCAATGAGTACTCAGTAATGATCTTAACTTGATCATATCGTTGTAATGAACGATATATTCTTGTAACAATTTACTTTAGACTAAAATAACATAAGTATTGTAAAATTTTCAGGTCAGAAGCCGTTTTAAAATATAAAAGCTTAAAATCTCTTACTTTGTTTTTAGGCATGCTTTCATTAAAACTTTGAAAACTTGTTAAATATTCTATACACTTTCATACACATTGTGTGTTCATATATGGGCGCAAAAAATGCAATTATTTTATCTGGTGTTTACGTTATATCAACATAAAGTTTAATCAATCATAAGTACTTATTTTATTCACCTAACATACAATAATGTGGAAAAATCCAACCATGTTATACTGCTAGTGTATTTCCTTATCAGCTGCAATTATTATAGATAATCTTCCGGTATTTCCTTTTACGAAGAATCCAGGATTATGCATGGAGTTGATTTAAAAAGGAGCAGAGAACGATCCATTTGACTTTTACAGACTGTTTTTCGACGATGAAATATTATCAATTATAGTTCAAGAATTGGATAAATAGTCCAGTAGAGTATGTTATATGGGATTGCCAATGAAAAAATTCGTTGCTAACGTTACTGAAAAAATATTTCCTGAATAGATTCTAGTATTTTTAGGATATCTAAAGTGGATGGGATTAGTTTAAAGATTACTTTAGTATGAATCTTCTATATACTTATGACGTTGGACAATACGTGGTTATGTCCAAAAAATAGATTTAAACGCCTTCTCTCTAATTTACACTCTTTGATAACAACCTTACTGCAGTTAATGACAAAAAAAGCTTTGGTGAGTTTGATGATTAAAAAGTTTCAGAATATTCGATACAGTATCGATGAAACTGATACCGTTTAGAGGCTGGTTAAATTTGTCAATGGTATTTCCATTGTTAGATCCATCTTCAAAATCTATAACATAAAATTTCCACTTCTGGCAACAAATATGAGGCATTCGAAATATGCCCAAAAAACGCAGAATTTAAACTTTCATATTATAAAAAAAGGAACGCGATGGGAAATGACTCCATGAAGACGTATTCGATGGAATTTGTAGATGAAGCTGTGTAGTTTCGATTAACGTACTGGTACAAGCGAAAATAAGTAGTTTTAAACGTTTTAGATCGTTTGTAATGCCAATTACAAACCAATGCCAAGAGAATTTTTTTGCTAAAGGCTTTGAAGATTAGGCTCTAACAATAAAAATTCCATAGTGACCGTTCAATGAAAATGATCAATTTTATTCATCTCATGAGAATCATAAAAAATAGCAAAAATGGCGCAACGTTTATTTATTTGACACTTTTATAGAGACTAACTTTACTTGGGGCAAAATACAAAAACTACATACGAAAGCTGCACTTTTCGTCTTTAAAACTCATTATAATTTTTGTCGATAGGATAATCTGATCAAAAGATATCGAATTTTTTTTCCTTCAAGTTGATACAAATTTTATTTAAAATTGATTGATATGAATAACTGAATATTAGGATATTAGGGGGGTAGGAGTGGTAAACTTTTTTTGAATATTTTTTTGGATTTTAAAAATTCTTACAACCGTCTAGCAGAAAAATGAGGAAAGAGAACCAGAAATGAGAAAAACAACAGTAAGGTGCTCACAGTTAGCAAAAGAAAGGGAAGAGCGTATGATATGAAGCATTCCAAGAGAGTAAAAACATCTTGCAAGGTATGTAGTGAAAAGTTTGTATGTAATGACTGTTTTTTGTTGTAAATAGTTTTCAGGCACTAACTTTTGTTACAAACCGTGTGTACCATATTTTGATACAATCTTTTGAATAAGTTTTTTCCCAAATTACACATTTTTATATTATAATATAATTTGTAACTCTTCTATACAATAATTTGACAAAACTAATACATCTTAGTTTCAGTGAAATTTATAAAATCTCTGCCTAATAGAATATAATATTATGTGACTACATATATAAATGTGGAGGTACATAGCTCGTGGTAAAACTTACTGTGTACCACTTCTGGTACACAAAGGACACCAAACTAAAATCAAGGCTTTTTAAAACGGCAAATAATGCGAAATTAATGTTACATCAAACATTTGTTTTTAAACTTTGCAGTATATAACAGCCGAGAGGAAATTGTAAAATAACTCACCATTGCTTGTTTAGTTTATTACCTTCATAAATACACACTCCACATCTTGTAGTTGAAATCTAAACATAAACTATTTATAGAAAATCCTATCAAATATTCGGTACGGCTTTACAGTTGAGCCTGTTTCATAACAAACTGTGATAAAATGTAGGGTATCAAATAAACGGAGTCTTTCTTTAGCAAAACTTATTTGCAATTACGCAGATGTGTGATGTAAATATTATGTATACTCAAGTGCTAAATTTAATTTAACTTTAAGAAGCATTTATTACATTGAATATATCAAAATGTAGAATTTTTAGATATTTTAGTCCTAATATAAACAGATGTAAAAAAGATAATATCAAGATGTACAATTAATTATATTTACTTGTAGTTGTAGCGTTCTAGAAGATCAAATTTAGAATAAATATTTTGTCCTAATGTACAAATTTAACCAACGCGACGCTCAGGGGTATCTAGTAATTGACATAGAAGAAACAAAAATTTGGAAGACTTACGTAATAACAACATTTGACCACAATGATGAGTACAACAGAAATCACACCACCATGCAGAAAATGAAAGCCATACCAGACCACCAATCATCGAAATGAAAGTAGAAGACGCAATAAAAAATATTAGGGAGGGTAAGGCTGCAAGCCCAGATGACTTTCATGCTGAGTTCTTGAAGACTATGCCTTTATTCTTTGTTAACAAAGGAATATTTTCTTTTGACTGTCTTTCCTTGGCAAAGATTCCCGACCACGCGGCTTATGTTTCGCAGCAAATAAATTTTTATAATTTCACCATCGTGGCTGGAAATTCGAAATCCCATCTTTATCATCATTGAATAGAAAGAATAGAAAGGGAGATAAAAATGGAAAAGGGAGATAAAAATAAAGTAGGTTGTAATAAATAGACAAAAATATGAAGACATAATTGGAAAACACTCAAAGGTGCTGAGACTGGGTAAAGACTGGCAGATATCAGACTGGAGAAAGACGAGTGACGTTGTTGTTAAAAACCTTCCCAGTGGCATTTTAAATGTAATGCATCGAAAAGATTTATATTTTCTAAAAAAAAGATCATATGGCCACCGTAAGGGGGGGGGGGGAATATTTTATCGTTCTGACATAGGGTTCAGCAAGTCTATAATACGAAAATGGAAAAAGATTTCTTTATTAAAGTGCAAGTTACAACAGATGGGAGGTTCATTGAAAGGAGATAAATCATCCATAGACACTCTCCTTAGAAAACCGTGAAAATTGGAGAGAACAGCCGAATCTCTCATTTTATAAAATAATAGATACTGGCGTACGGACAAATAATAACGAGAGTGCTGCAGAAAATAATCGTATTGATGATGAGAACCCAGAGGAACTTGGAGATTAGGAATTAATATAAATATATACACATAATTTGTACGGCCTTTTGTACTTTGTTTTCTTCCTTATTCGTAAAACACTAGGTTTGAAAAACAGACTAATCGAAGAACAATTAATATCGATAATAGTTGACTATTATCAAGTATTTGCAAATGTTAGTTGCATACATTTGTATTTACAAGGTTCACTTGCAAAACTTGGTATTTTCTTCCTTTCCTGACAAACACAATAACTTTCATGAAAAAATCATTAATTTTTACGCAATAGAGCATTTATCGATCACAAAAAGTGACATTCATTAAAACTAAGGTTTTTTGCAAAATTTACCTATTTTTTACAAATAACTCAGTTTGACTTATACAGTAAATACAAAGTTTTGCATCTGGCGGACTCCTATATGGTCAT